CTGAAATATTATTATTCTTTAATGCAATTCTTCAAGGTTTTTTCAGTGGCATTGTTTCATGGGGAGGAAATACATGAAGATTTACATTTAATGGTCACTCAGAGCCCAGATGAGTCACATGTTGTAGTTTATGGTGAAGTGTGAGTGAACAACTCTGTTTTTTAGCTTTCCCTTAAAATTTTTGGGTAACATTAGTCTTGTCAAGGCATATTTGATAGTGAGATCACACATTTTGTTTTTTTTTTTGTTTGTTTTTAAATCACACAGACACTTTGCAAGAAGCAATCGGAGTCATTAATGAAGTCTCAAAGTCCTTAATGACATGAGTTTTAGTTTTTGACACATCATTAATAGTAAAGTCATATGTTTTTGTTTGCTTGTTTGCTTTAAAATCCTGCAGACGCTCTTCAAGAGGAGATCAAAGTCATCAGTGTTACATTACAATTTGTGCAGGACCTACCTGGCACCCATGTGCGATTTGCAAGAATTCGTCTCTTGGTGAAAGAACAGAGCTATGTTCGAAACATTCTTTTGTGGTTCACTTTAAATATGATCTTTTACATCCTTTCCCCTTATTTAACCCTTCCATAAATCTGAAGATTAAAGATACAGTCCTCTTCAACACTGGAGACTTCTTGATGGCATTAAAACTGTTAACTTCCAAGAGCACAATAAAGAATACACAGGAGCTTCACAAGATTTTATTTCCCCATGGAAAATACTGTGCTTCAAAGTTGTGCACTCCAGTACCTAATGGTAGTATACAGGATAACTCAGACACAAACAGTGATAGTGGAGAAGATTGCAAGTCATGTTTGGCTTCAAGGGAACTGCGTGTTGGTATACAGTCTGCTAAAGACACAAAAGTGAGTTGTAATGAAAAAGTTGACTTCACAGCAAGCTCTGGAACAAACCTTGGTGCAAATTCAAGTTCAGATGCCAAAGCTGATGTAATGAACTCAAATTGTACCTTGTACAATGATGTCGAAAGGAGCAAGATTGTATCTGCCTTTGCTAATGAGCTGGATCAAATACATAATGAAAAGATTAAAGTCCATGACGACAAAGACTTTTCACCTACTCATTGTACCATGAGTGTGAGAAATTGTCATGACCTGTGCTACAAAGGACTTTGTGCTCAAGGGGATTGTGTTGTTAAAGGAAGTAACCAAGTAAAGTGTAATAGGTCTTGTGCTGGCAATTTATCTTTTGACTCAAATCAAGGTTTGGGAAACACATGTAATGTGAATTCATTTCAAAGCTTGGATGCGACAGAGGGTTCAAGTACATGTGCTAACATTTCTGGTGATTCATCAAGTATCAGTCATGTCTCCGCCAAAGATAAGTCTGATAAAGCACATTGTGACTTTGCTTGCTCACATTGCTACAGTTCTTATGAGTACAATAACGTTACAGCTGCACCAGTTGTAAACAACAACAATCTGACCTCATCTGTTTTCAAATTGTATGAAGAAACTAGCAATGATTCTAGCTATGATGAACTTCCTGATCTGGCAAATGAGTTTGACATGTATGATGGCTCCCTGTCACTAACAGTTGAAAAACGTTGTGGTAGTGCCCCCTTAAAACAAGTGGCTAAAATAAACCAAAGCAACCCAAATGCAGAAATGTTTTCAGTCCTCAAGAAAGGTCTTGAAAGTAATAAGCAAGGGATGGCTATTCAGCAAACAACGCTTGACTTAGAGCAATGCATCAGTGAATTAATCCAGGCTCATGAAGATCTACGGCAAAGCTATAAGTCCCTGAAGGACTATGATGTCCAGGTGATCACTGCGTGTCCGGACAGTGGAGAAGTGATCGCACTTGCCAGGCTTCTGGTTTTCACACGCGTTAAGCAACAATCAGCGACCTGTGGTCTGTCTGTAAGTCCAAGGTAAGCTGACATGATGCTTGTAATTGTTCAACCTTTGTTGGTCTACATCAGCTTTAATTTTGTTTCGTTGGCCTCGTGGACATGCAGGTTAGGCTACTGGAGAGGCGTCGTTTTTGGGGTGCTTAAGGCGGCTGTAAGAGGGAACGAGGGATAAGACATGTGCAAGACGAGTAGCGCGAAAAATTAAGCGTCATTTTTCCCGCGCTCCTCCTCACGCACGAGAGAAGGAGCGCGAAAGAAAAATTGACGCTTCATTTTTTCTTTTTTCTTTTTTCACGCTCCTCCACTTGTACCTGTTTTGCCCCTTGCGGCTACCTCGCGCTCGTCTCGCACCAGAGAGGGGGTGCCCTCATCTTTCACGTGTCTCACCCCATAGCGGTTACCTTGCGTTCACCTTGCGCGAGAGGCGAGGCCGTCTTCCACATGATCGGGTCTAAGCCCTCGCGCCTTCCTCGTGCCTCCCTCTACACGCTTGGAAATGCTGTGACAAACATAACCCTTTGCTTAGCCTGGATAGACCAACATAGCGTTCAATTGTTACTTTCTTGATTTTACCTCACTTTCTTGTTGCCCTTATCCAGCCCTGTATTACAGAAGGTAGGATTCATATTTTCCTGGAATGTATGGAGTGGTGACGTGAAGATTCTTCAAACTCTTGGATTGGAAACCTGCCCTGAGCGAACTCGATATACCAAGTTTAACATGGCCGCTAAAGAAGCTTGTGAGCTTCGTGCGAAATTTTCCATCCCTCAAAGCATTCCATCGATTGTGCAGGCGTTTTCTAATCACACTGTATTTACAGGAAAGTCTCTGAAGTATCTCAGGCATCCATTCCTTCCACTGGTTTTAGTGCTGTGAAATGTTGGTTAGTCACACGTTTTATTTTTCTTATAGTTGTCCTTGACTACTGCAGTGACAATTTGTTATCAAGCATTCTTCAATTATAGCTCGTTTAAGGCCCTTTAAGCCTGTAACGTGCTATATGGTTGATGCCACAGTTATTACTTTTTCATTTGACTCTGTCGGAAATAACGCAGAATGAATAGATTTTGCTGTGTTACGGCCTGTGATTGATGTAGACAAAACTCGCGGCACGGGTGCAAATGAACCAATCATATGGCCGGATTGGCATCCAAGAGGGCGTTTAGATATTACGTCATATGATTGGATTATTTGTACCACGTGATACACAACACTCTCCCCCGTATACCACTTTGGTGTCATGAATACTGGTTGAACTAAGTATACAACAAATCCCGACTCGGGTAATTGCGTTTCCCCGTCCTCAAGAGAGTCTGTTTGTTTTTACTTTGAGTTTTCTTAAGCTCCATGTGAGAGTAGTGAACGTTTTGAATGGACGTCGTGATTACCCGACCCATGCCCGCTTCCCATGCCTGCTTCCAGAGGCAACCGCATTAATTGCATAAGTTTACATGTCATGTGTTGTTAATATTCATTCAGTATTTATTGGGTTGCAGTAGTATTTGTTTAAAATTTGGCTTTACACTGGTACAGTTAAGTGAAAAGATTCAGAAAAATTTAATAATTCCTTTGATTTTGGAGATGTTTCGGTTTTTTGTTTTTTTGTTTTTCATGTCTATCATGCTGTATTGAAGCTGAATCAAGACCAATTTTCAATCAAGCGTCGAAAATAATTCGGGATCGCCTTGTTTTGCGTTATTTCGCTATTTGACTGCCTCTCAATCAATCAGACGCGAAACTGAAGTAAGTCCTTATTAGGTCATTCGCGTTTGGTACTTTGAGTTCCGATGGAGGGGGTCTGATCACTTAGCGAAAGAAGTGACGGGAAGGCGGAAACATCTGGCAGATGTCGCGTTAAGAGCAAACAAACGAGAAGACTGTTAAGTGTCATAACTTAAACGGAAAGAACAATAGTATCAAAACACTTGACATTTATAATGTTTTGGGAGTTAGATGCGCGATATGTATTCATTAGTCAAGTTGTTACTACCATATTTTCAATTTAACTTTATTGTTTCAACAAAACGTGTTCTTCCACATTTCGTAGTTGCTACGTACATAAAATCTTCCCTCCGGAAATTCCATGGTTATAATTAAATATCAAATACTGTGTACATGTGATTTTACTTTAAAGCGAACTCATTTGTAATCATCAAAACACTGGCTGCAAACCGTTCAAACATAGCTGTTTCCTTTGATAGTTATAGAAGTGTACATGAGTATTAAAACTATGGCGCTTCCTAAAGTCATACAAATCGCCTCAAATGCAAAGCGTAACAACGGCTTTGAAGCTAATGCGCTTTTTCGTATGGCTTTACGCCTTCACCAAATTGTGCGTTGCACTGATGCAAGCTTCCCGCGCTTTACACAAAGATTTTTGTCTTCCCCTGCTTTATACAAGCTGGCGTTTTCCCATGCTTTGCACGGAGCTGATGTTTTCCCGCGCTCGGCACAAGTTGGTGTTTCCCCTGATATTGTCCAGGCTTGATAGCTCAGCGTTTGATTGTATTACAAGCACAAATTTTGTTGCCAGAAAAAGTCTCAACTACAGTTAATGTTTTTTATAAAAATATTTAGGTCTTTGCGAAACGTGTCTCTTAAGAGCAGAGGATAAACAAAGTGTTGAAAAGATAGCGAAATAATTACAACACAGGGACCGCGCTGCAAGATTTTGAGTTGGGGGCTATTTTTGGTCCCCTTATTTTTGTTAAATTATTTTTTGTTTTGAGCTCTGCGCGGTCCCTGCAACAGCAGTGTCCAAATCGCTGCTCCTACAGCTGTGCATTTGGGAACTCATTCCGTGCGTGACATGATTGCGTGACGCTATCACACGACTTATCAGGAATAACAATATTCTCAAACGAGGCTTTTCAAAAGAGATCTAGCGAACCTACCGCTCTCCATAATTCAAAGTGACATTACCTCCGCTCATTGTTTAAACAATTGAACTTAACAATTGGATTTACAACTGTAACAAATCTTCGTAATATTTGACAATAAAAGTGTAAAATCTCTTCCGTTGTGGAACATTAGTTCCCTCGGTTATATCTTCCCTTGTTACAAACTTAAATTTCCTTCTTTAATGCTGTTCGCTTTAAAAGTATAAGAGAAGAGGAAAATATTTGTGTGGTATCTTCGCTTACCACGTCGGAGACCTTGGCCTGTTATCTGGATGACGTAATTTTGGCTTCGACTGCGGCTGCGTCTTTTGGTACCAGTCCACTGCGTACTTGGCAATCTCCGACGAAAATTTCATGAATTCGTTGAAGTCCATGCGTCGACCTTCGAGTCTTTGTTTTTGTCCAAATATTGTTAGTTCTAAGGTAGTTTCCAAGTAAATCTTCTCCAGATTGGTTGATGTGACATTCGTTTTGAACGAAATAGAGTGGAGCTGTAACAGTTCGCTGTACATAAGTTGGTCGGCTTCCTTGACCCAGCGCAGTCCCTTCTCCAGGTCTTTTTGAGACCTTGCCGCACTGCGGTAAATTGCGCATGTCTTGCTCAAGTTTGCACTAACGAATCTGCAAACATTGTGGTACCCAGAGTTGACTAGGCAACGTTTCATTACAACCTGGTGACAAATGTCAAGCGGTGAACCGATTCGTGGCGTGCCTCGTTTCTTCTGCGTGGTATTTTGTGCATCTGAGAAGGAACTTGCACAGACTCCATGGTTCAAACACCAGAAGCATTCTCGTTTGATTGTTTTGTTACATTCTCTTCTAAGGCGTTGTACTTCACTTTTGGCTGATTTTAGTCGCGACATCTCTGATTCAAGCATTGATACCACGTAATCTGAGGCTAGACGTGTCAACTGAGGAGAAAATAAACCACATCAATCATAATTTTTTAAAGATATCGATACTTGATGATTTTAGATATATGAAAATTCACATATTTGCACTGCGGTGGAGAGATGAAATTAAGAGATCCTCGCAGCTAAGAACACTACTGAAACGAGTAGTTGTAAATAGGATCTGACAAAAATTCAGGCCCGTACGGGATTTGAACCCATGACCTCTGCGATACCGGTGTAGCGCTCTACCAATTGAGCTAACAAGCCAACTGGGAGCTGGTCAATGAATTGGGTCCAAATAAACATCAAAGTGAATGATGATTTTAGATATATGAAAATTCATATATTTGCACTGCGGTGGAGAGATGAAATTCAGAGATCCTTGCAGCTATCGATACTATCGATCAGCTATATCGATACTTTTAAAGCGAATTCTAGAGTCTTGATGCGATATAGGCAAAAGAAGGGAAGTTGGGTGGTAGATCTGCGCATGTCTCAGTGAGAAGTTATCATCGGAATTTGGAAGATTATTTGGATGAATGTCAGTGTCTGACCAGCTGCGCACCCACCCGTCTCCTGACCTAACATGAAACCATCAGTTGACTATTGTTGGGTTAGGAGATTGGTAGGTTCGCAGTTTCTCAGATAATGACATTGATCCGAGTAGTAGCATAGAGCTAGAAAATTCACAATCTTGAGAGAAAAATGACAGAAAGCGGTAGAGGAAATTTTTCAGATAACGCTGCAAAATGTTAAAGTTGTTGTAACACCTAATTATTATTCCTCTTTAAACATCTTACCTTGGACAACCCATTGTCGAAGACAACCATGGCATTAAATTGGGTGTCGTTACGATTCGTGCTGTAGTTAGTTATCAAGTGGACATCGATTTTGTAGGACTTGTTGACGTCACTGGCCAGGTGAATTTGCAAAGAATCACGGGTAGCAAGCATCTGTACGTCCTTAAATATACCAAACAGCCGAGGAAAGCCGTCAAGGTGTGCCTAAGGAGGGCGGAAAAAATTAGCGTCGCTAAGTAATTTACTGGACGCAACATTCCCGCAAAACCCGCGCATTGCGCTCTAAGAATTGAGGGTCGTCTGGTAACGAGGAATGCTTAAACCTGCTTAGCGAGGCTATGTTTTTTGTTCAGCGGTGCTTCTCAGGGAGTGTTTCCGCGGATTGACATCACAATTTTTTTAAATTGATCTCTTTAGGCAATTTCCTCATTTCCTTTTCAGTTGGTAAGAGAAGCAGGTATTATGCATAGTCGACATCTCATTGAAGCCTCAGGTTGTCTCCCGGCTTTTATTTTAAGTACGTTTTGGAAACGCTTGCTGTTGCGCCGAGATGTTACACTCATAGTCTCGCACAGATGCATCACTTTTTTTATTTACCTTTACGGATGGAACTGAATCCATTCGAGCTGTCAGATAAAGCTTAGAATTAAGATTGGAACCCGCAGTCGAGGAAGATGATAGTGTGATGTCGTCCATAGTGGCGAGATCTTCATCTGATTTAATTTTGGCATCAATTACAAACTGGAGGAATGGAAAACAAAGAAATGATTTTAGAAATAAAGCTATTTTTTGATGAAATGGCGCTTCAAAACAAAATAATCCAGTAGGCCCCTTGTTCAGTCAAATAAGTTTTCACAAAAATAGCCCTTAAACGAACGGAACAAACCGTGGTACTCAGCCACTATAAGCCCCCACATTGCAGACGCGCCTGCAAGAACAGGCTAGCAAGTTTTCACGCAAACTCGTAGATGTCTGAAAAGCTTAAGTGTTATGCGGACTTGAATACCTCTTCAGGTAAAAGCGAAACTGCTCCTGTGGTCTCAATTCCGAATAAACTCATCTTGCCTGACAGAATGAAACCTGGTTTTATGGTTGGTCCTCCAAGAACGCTAAGGTTGTGCGCTCCTTTTGCGGCAGAGATCTGGAAAAGAGAAAAAATCCCAAATTAGAGGTTGCAGAACAATTTTAGATGCACGAGAGGTACTGCACAATCTGTACGCTTGTCTTCAAATCGAAACATCCGCGCGCAATCTCTCGCCGGGTCAGCGCGCTGGGTTTTTGAGAGACTAATCTCCAAGTGCTTCTCCCATTCAGGGGTTTCAATGGTTACCTGCAAGTGGACAGGAAAAGTTTGTAAAACATTGGAGGTAACCTCCAATGAACCAGCTTCCAGTCCAGGAAAAGTACTGCTGCAACACTCCAAATGGCCTGGGCCCAAAGCGGCCAACATGCATAGAGGACTGGAGAAAGTAAAGGAGTCTTTTTTCGTACCTTTAGACCTTCAGGAAATCCTATCGTCGCCAGGGCGACAGGCAGCTTGTGATTGATATTACACACTTCAAGCAGTTTTTGAAGACTGACAGGAGACAGCGAGCCGTAAAAGAAACGATCAGCAGATTTATCAGACAATCCCAAGGACAAATGACCAGTGACGCAACTTTTCTGAAATAAAATTTATGCAAAACGATGTATCATGGACGATCGAAACATTTGAAATTTACACCTCGTTTAATTTATCTTTTTTCCATTGATCTGTGTTCTACATACCTTGATAGATTCGTTCTTACGATTGCGCGCTGCGTTGCACAGAGAACCCAGCTGAAGTTCAGCTTGGCCAGTAGCGCTGCTTTTTTGTGACTGGCCAATCGGTAACGATAATCTGAAATGAAAAGATATAGTGTCAGTGATTTATCTCTCTACTGAACCCACCCTTTCCTCGTTCAATAATCTCACTCACTCTCGCATATAATGTCTATCTGATATTAACTAAGCATGGTGATGAGGCGTTCTTTAATTAAGACGGCAGGAACAATTCTGTTTTAGTTACCCTACGGACTGTCCTCCGCTGCGTGTTCATCAGGCCTCCTCCAAATTTTGCTCTTTCCAATCCAATTTAATCATTCCCATTCTTAATCATCCTTACTCCTCATTTTCAATTTTTTTTTCTTTCTTCCTCGATGGGTTACTGGCTGCGATATAAACGAATCACTTTCCTTTTTGTTTTACTTGATCATCAAGTCCATTTTTTTTCTAAAACACTTTTACTGCGAAATCTCGCTGTTCTTTACGTTCTTACCCTAACTGTAGGTTCTTCATGGTCAAGTACTCCATTCCAAGGGCTTTTCTCCAAGCAGATCGGGTTTTAAAGTTTGCTTCAAGGTTTGCCTTTAGTCCTCTGTATGTTAGCTGACCACTTAAATCCCAGCTGTCTAAACGCTGACCTTTCTTGTAAAGAATTCCACTAAGAGGGATGTTTATGTGTCCCAAAGGCTCTATCTTTAGTAACCTGCTGTCATTGATCTATTGGTTTAAAATGAAAAGGAAGACAAAAAAATTATGAAAATATTTCTGTTCTTGAGGTTCTTTCTGTTTGAAGAAAGAACACTTCTCTTTCTGTACATGTTGTTTAAAACGGCTTTTCATCACAGGAGCTGATAAAAGACGTCATTTTGGGCGACATCAAAACAAAACCTTGCCGAAAAACTAGAGACTATTAATGAAGGGAACACCGCTGCAGATCCTCTTTTTCTACGTGTAATGTGAGGCAGAATTTTTAATCATGATAAACGACAGTAGAATTCTTGCACTCTTGGGAATGAGTACCTTCATTTTCATCTCCACTCGGTCAAAAGGTGACAATGCTCCTGCAGCAAGATTGATAAAATGCCAGTCGAGGCTGATGGAAGCCCAGTTTGTCGATGCCTTCAGTGTAAGCTCACTTCCACGGCCAAAAATAGTCTAAATTAGTGAAATGAAAAGATAAATTTTGCAATTGTGTGTCGTTTGTTGTTTGGGATTACATTGCTTTAGCTTTGATTTGCCCTGTAAAAGTCCAGAAAATTCGCCCCACTCTCTCAACCAATCAGATGCAAAACGAAAGCCGATCACGACTTAATAAATTGGGCTTTCCCGCTTTTCGAGTGATTTACTTATTTTAACTTTTCATTGGTCCCTTGCTGTATCTTTCTTTAGCTTGGATTAGCTGCTGTTGATACTTCTTGTGGTGCAACGTTCACACAGTAAAAATTCCATCCTTTCCAGCCCTAAGAAATGCGGTATGATATACAATTTATCTTTTATTACGCCCTATTTTGTTCTGCCCTTCCCTTTAATAACGAATGGATCCTTTTTTGAAAATTTTATTTACAAATAATTGCTCAACCTGGAAAAGCTGACACACTTGGTTGTCCTTGTGTGTTTGAACGGGAATTGCTCCACTGGTTACCAGGCTTAAACCGTCAGGGACAGTGTCTGCAAATGCATGTGCCAGCGGTGCTTCCTTAAATATTTCATATGGACTTTTACTAAGGTCTAGAGCCTGCGCAGAGAGTACTATTCCAACCTGAAAAATTCCAGAAAAATGTCAGCACGTGAATTTTTTAAAAGCTTTAAAAACTCGATAACCTTTAAGATTTCGTGTAACACTTACTCTTGATTCGTTGGAAGCATGCATGTCGAAATATGGAAGTGATAAGCTTGTGAACAAATGCAATGCTTGGTTCATTGTGATCCGACTGCTGGTAATTCCCGCCAAAAGTACGTCTTCTCTTCCCCACTTCCCGCCAAAAATTTCCAGAGTGATAGGAACTGCCTTGGTGCTAGTGTCCATGTATAAGTATGACTTTCCAGAGAATTTCACAATCAAATCTTTATTGATGTATGCTTCCATGGAAGGTCTCATCAAACGAAGCTCAAATAAGTTGCCTTTTTTGATCGCTTTGACCAACATCGAAGACGGACTTGCGGACACGAAGGCATTTTCGATGGTGTTTAAATCAATGGGTGTTTCTGAATTACCGCTGAGCTTGACATTACCATCTGGAAGTGATTCGACAGTCATATCAAAAACAGTATCACAAATTTTGTACTTCCCTTTAGCGATGAAGGATCCATGTCCTGACTGGTGTCGATAAAAGAAGGTCACGTTTCGCAAGGTGATCTTCCTGTGTACTGTGTATATTGCTGCGTAGCCGAGAGGAACCCATATGGAGCCAACACTTGAATTGATCATCGAAATTTCCAATCCAAGAACCGTCAAGTTGTATGGTCGTGGGAGGTTGGGGAGGAGTGGCGTCCTAAAGTAAGCTGTCCAATCACGAACCAGTTTGCTCAGAGGGAGAGAGGCAGAAAGACAATAAGTCGATAACTCCATAGACTGTGATTCTAGCGCCATGTTACCATTGTGCAGCTCTGCCTTCACGTTTTTCACGAGACTGAGTACCTCTTTGTTGTAAATTTTATCGATCCGGCTAAATCTTTTACTGCATATCGAAAAGGTCCTTTTTAATGGCTTGACGTTTGCTGGAAATGGATCTGCATGATAAAGAAATATTTTAAAGTTTTTTTTTTCTCTTTCAAATTTTACATCATTACTAGTAACCTTTGTTCACGTTTAGGATTCCTCGTGAAAATTTCGAAAACGATTCGGAAACCGTACGAAAAATGTACATCGTCACTTTGATTTCGCTCACAGAAATATGCCTCTTTGTCGATGTTCAAATGTTTGTAACTCTCTCTTCTTCACCCATCACTTCAGCAATCAACATATCGTGCATATATTTTTTCTTACAAAAAAGTAGTTATAATGATTCGATTTTTCTTTTGTCTCACCTTTGGACGTCTCAC